CTTGTTATTATGCTCATTTTTGCCAAACCTTCATACTATAGGTTCCCTTACTTCTTGCCTTGCGTGTGTATATCACTCTTTGCCTTTGGAGTACTTATAGCATGTTATTGGCTTCCGGTAAGTACAATCCCATTTCAATATTGTTTTTCTTATTTTGTATGCATGCTACTTTTCTCCTTGGTACACATTAATATGTCTTGAATTCCAAACTCATATCCTTATTTGGTGCATTGGATGGGTGTATGTAAATGATTGTCAGATGATGAATTAAAATTTGTCTCTAGTTTGGTTTAATTGGTACAATGTTATGCAGGAAACATTGCACAATCATCCTGAAAACAGAACAGCAGATGCAAAAATTGATTCTACTATGAGAGAGAAGGACGAAGAAGCTGAAGGAAGATTTCCACCTCATAAGGAAAACCTTCTTCTGAATTGGCCACTAATGTCATCTATCATCGTATATTGTGTTTTCTCCTTTCACAACATGGCTTATAGTGAGGTAAAATTCTTATTTTTACCATATCTTTCTAAATGTTCTCTGTCGATGCGCTTAATACATATTAATTGGAGGATCTGCATTATTTAGTAGTAGCGTTGAGTGTAAAAACTAAGACACAAATGTTGAATATCTAACTTGAGAGATTTAGTCTGGATGGTCTTCATCACAAAAAATTCACAAGGCTGGTCTTAAAGTTATGAATACTGCAGGCAAGCTCATGTCATAATTCTGATAGAAATACTAGGCTGCAACTATTTGCATCCGATAATAAACTTGCAGCCTGTTCTAATTCCTGGTCATTTTTTTTGAAAGAACTCCTGGTCAATTTATTTTTACCTACTCAACTTTTTACTTCTTTTTTCCTTGAGATGTATCCTAGAGGGAAACCAACAGAGGGGTTCCATAAGAGAGACTGTTTTCATCTTATGCTCTTCCATTGACCTGTTTATTTCATCATTTTTAGTTTTATTTACTAACCTAATTTAAAACTTCAGATATTTTCTCTATGGGCTGAGAGTGACAGAAAGTTTGGAGGATTAAGTTTTTCGTCTGAGAATGTTGGTGAGATTCTTGCAATTTCAGGTATGTAAAACTGTAAATACTAATCCATCTTAAAGCAGTCTAGTTTATCCATGTATGTTAATTTCTGAAGGTAAACTGTTGACTTGTAGGTTTCAGTCTTCTAGTGTCTCAAATATTTCTTTATCCACCAGCAGAGAGAATCCTGGGCCCCATAAATTTAGCACGCATTGCAGCGGTATAAATTAGTTTTTATCTCTCTTTATCTTTTGACATTTTATTTGATATTTGTGTTCTTTCTGAGGTAAAAATGCTGTCAATGTGCAGGTTCTAAGCATACCATTACTTGCATGTTACCCCTTTATGGCAAATTTATCAGGACTTGTGCTTACAATAGTAGTGAATTCTGCATCCTTATTGAAGAGTGTTCTCTCTGTGAGTACAAATTGAAGAGTTTCACTATACTATATTAATACATTTAGAAATGTTAATTTCAAAATTTTGATTATTTAAACTGGCCCTATTCATGTCAACAGACAACTATCATTACAGGGACATTCATTTTGCAAAATAATGCGGTGGTAATTTTCTCATCATCTCACTATGCGTAATAGCTTATTGCATAAAAGTTGTTTACTGATAATAGTTACTGTTACAAATTATAGCCTCAACATCAAAGAGGAGCTGCAAATGGTATTTCAATGACTGCAATGTCTTTCTTCAAATCCGTGGCTCCAGCGGCTGCAGGTGCTATGTAAGTATTATTTCTTTGGTGTATTCTAATTTTTACTGTTATGGTTACCAATTCATAAAAAGTTGAATCATTAGGATTATTTCACTTAGTTAACAATTTGGTTAGCAATTCCTGAAAAGTAAGCTGTTCTGAAACCTGAATCATTAGGATAATTTCACTTAGTTAACAACATGGTTAACAATTCCTGAAAAGTAAGCGTCCTGTAACTTGACAGTCACTGTTTAACAATTTCCGAAGACTTAACTGAAGCTCTGTTTTTAACTTATTTTTATTTTGTTAATAATGCTGTTTGAAATGGCTTTTTTTGGTCTATTTTATTTAACTATATAATAATGAAACTTTTGACCACTGTCGCAGATTTTCATGGGCACAAAGGCGACAAAATTCTGCTTTCTTACCAGGTATAACTTAATCTCGACTTTGTAGTTAATTTGAGGAAGCTTGTTGTATTTTATCATTGGGTACTATAAACTGGATAACTGGTATCTACATTCCCCAGTACCCACTGGTAGAATTATCTTAATTAGTCAATTCTTGCAGATAATTATCAATAGCTAGTGACCCGCTTATTTTTTATGAGCATGTAAGAAGTTTTTAGAAGGTATTTAGATTCAACATTAAATCGTCTGCTAGATGAATCTTAATCTGATACTTGTAAATATTTGTGGGATATTTTACTCTGAACCTTCATTCAGAAGCTTGTTGAATTTGGACGCAAATCCACTATCTTTGAGGATGACAACGTCGTTGTACTTGTTTCATTTCTAACAGTGATAAATCTAACAGTGATAAAGTTCAATTGAGCCAAATGGGAGTAGATAGTGGAAACACGATGTGGGAAGTTTAAATCGTACAAACACAATATTGGTGAAAAAAAGGAGAGTAGTAGTTCTGAATAAGGCTTTGAATGGTAATCAATTACTGATTTTATTTGGAGGACTTGCCACAAATAATACCCAACTAATTTGCAAGTAAAGAAAAAAAAAGCATGCATCTTTTGTACTGCAGATATCTAGCCAACTAACTTGCAGGAAAAGAACTTTCAGAAGAATATGCTCTTAGGTTCATGCATATAACCAACTAATTGCAAGGAAAGATCCTCCCAAAAACTATGTTATCATAACGCCATAGAATATGACCTAGGGATATCGATTTCATTTTTGCATTGGATGATCTTGCGAGCTTTTCATATATAACATGTTCATTGCTTCTGCAGGCGATCAAATGGTCTTCTTCATATTGAATCTCATACAGTTACTCGGCTTCATCATGACCTTCAGACCCTTTCTAGTAACAAATAGTTGAGACTAATATCAGCACAATATATAACATATACTATAGAGATCAACAAGATGAAGAAATGAAGATTCAACTGAAACATGCTTAATTAAACGCAAGCCCAGGGCCAGTGAACTGCTGTACCATTTTGCTCCATTTCCCCCCCTCAGAGCTCAGAGTACTGACCTTCAAGCGAAATTTTTCCATCTGTTGTGTACATCAGTGTATTACTTATTTTTGATTCAGTAAGGCAATCAACCATTATCATCAATTGTATCATCACTGTTGTCGTTATCGCTGGTCTTCCTTTGGCAAGCATTTTCGGTCAATGAAATGCTAGCATTGAGATTATCTGCAAACATTTGAGTTTCTATGCTCTTGGTATAATTATCCTCTCCTCGTTCGTATTTAGACAAGGTTGTGGTAATATACTTAAGGCTCTCTATTTTCTCTTGAATAAAGTGGTCTTTTGGCCAAATAAATTTTATATGTATTGCAATGAAGTAATTGACTTGTTTTACGTAGATGGTTAATACCAACAATAAAAGCATTGTTTTTAATGTGAATTGTTGAGTTATTTAGATAGTAATTAGTTAATATTGTAAGGACCTATCTGTAAGAGTGCACTTCTATAAAAGGGGTACCTCTCTATGAGATTGGGTAACCCTAATTTCACCCAAAAAACCACATGGTATCAGAGCTTGGGAGACCGAGCAAACCCTAGCCGCCAGACTACCCTCCTCTCTCCGTTCCCCTCCATTCCCCCCTTTCTTCCTCTCTCCGTTCCCCTCCATTCCCCCCCTTTCTTTTTCGAGCGCGTCAAGGCCCAATCCCGCACTCCTCAGCCCTCTCGACCGCGCCCTCGTCGAGCTCCTCAGCTGTGAAGTGCGAGATCAGGGCCTGAGGGGGACGTGGGCAGCAGATCGCATCAAGGCATGGTACCCGTGCGGCTCCGGCACCGACGACTTCACCGTGGCTGCTGATCTGCTGCTACAGTGTTGAGGAGATGAGATGAGGAAGGGGTCAAGAGGGTGATGTGAAGAAGGGAATGCTTGAAACCAAGGAAAGGAGGAAGGCCTGGTGTGAAGGATCTAGCTTTGAGATTCGGTGTTTTTGAGGGGAGATTCTGTGTTTTTGAGGGAAGAGAAGGACCGAGACTTGGATTCAAAGGGGAGACTAGGCAGTGCTTCAACTGCGGAGAGGTAGGGCATCTGAGACAGATGTGCCCTAAGCCACCCAGAGAAAAGAACTGGGGTGAACGTGATCAGACTGGTGGCCGTGCAGGTCGAGGAGGCAGGGGGCGTGTAGGCCAAGGAGTTGTTCACCTAGCTGTGGCAGATGAGTCTCAGACTACTGCTGGGATGACTGGAGCTGAAATAACAAAGCTGGAGGAACTACGTATGTTCAAGCTTCAGGTTGAGAGTTCGAAGGGCAAGGGACAAGTCACCCAGGATCTGGCTACCACTACATGCTTTGGTAACTTTATTGGTTATGCTCATGCGAACAAAGGTACACAGGTTCAGGCACTTGCATCCACTAAAACTCATGTTGATTGGATCATAGACTCAGGTGCATCTAGGCATGTCACAGGAACATCTAGTGAGTTTGCATTATATTATCCGAGTAAGCATATGCATCCTGAGACAGTTCAGACTGCTGATGGGACATCCCAACCCATCAGGGGTACTGGCTCGGTCCATTGCACTTCATCTGTTACCTTGTCATCAGTATTGCATGTTCCTTCGTTTCCAGTTAACTTACTCTCAGTTAGCTCTCTCATTGATCAATTAAATTGCACCGTGTTATTTGATCGAGATTTGTGTGTCTTTCAAGAGAAGGAAACGGGGAGGAGGATTGGGACTGGTATCAGACGTGATGGTCTTTGGTATTTGGACAGGGAGACAGCAATGATTGCTGCTACTGTTAGCGGAGGGCCAGAGGCAGAAGCGATGCTTCAACATTGCCGGTTAGGGCATTTATCTTTTGAGAGTTTAAATAGATTAGAACCTGAGTTAATGAAGAAAGTGGATAGAAAAGAGTTATTTTGTAATGCATGTGAACTTGGAAAACATACTCGTTCTACTTATAGAATGATTGGTCTTCGAAGTTGTGAACCATTTGCACTTGTCCATTCTGATGTTTGGGGACCATGTCCTACTACCTCTATCAGTGGTTTTAGATGGTTTGTTACTTTCATTGATTGTTATTCACGTATGACCTGGATATACATGATGAAGCAGAAATCAGAGGTTTACAAATGTTTTTAAGATTTCTCGGCTTATGTGAAGACACAGTTTGGAGTGCAGGTGAAGATTCTTCGAACAGATAATGGGACTGAGTATGTCAATAAGGAGTTTGCAGCTTTCATCTCTAATCAGGGAATTGTTCATCAAACCACCTGCCCAGACACCCCTGCTCAGAATGGGGTGGCTGAGCGTAAGAACAGGCATCTACTGGAAGTGGCACGCTCATTGATGTTGACAATGAATGTGCCTAAGTTTTTATGGAGTGAGGCTGTTATGACAGCAGCTTATTTGATCAACAGGATGCCATCAAGAGTATTAGGGATGAAGACACCATGTGAGATGCTTTTGGGCTCGAATGTTTTTGTTGTTCCACCAAGAGTGTTTGGATGCACATGTTATGTGAGAGATCACAGGTTGATGGTGAGTAAACTGGATCCGCAAGCAGTTAAATGTATCTTTGTTGGCTACTCATCAAGTCAAAAAGGATACAAGTGTTGGTGTCCCACTGAAAGAAGGCTGTTTGTCAGTATGGATGTGACTTTTCGGGAGTTTGAACCTTTTTATGGGGAGAAGACGGAGTTGAGTTCCTTGTTTGGAGATGGCTCTACTGATGCTAGTAGAGAGGGGGAGAATGAGAATGAGAATGAGAATGATATTGTGGTCGGGATGATTCCATGTCCTCTTGAGTCACCGAGTAGTGATGGTACATCGCCGAGTAGTGGTGGTGACTTAGGAGTTGGTAGTCAAAGTCAGGGGGAGCTGAGAGTATACACGAGGAGACAGAAACAGCAGCATGAGCCGCCTCCCGTGCCTGTGTCAGTACCCACAAATGTTGATGACCCAAGTCCCTCCTCTCCAGTGCCTTGCTCTTCTCCTCCACCTGAGTCGATAGGTAACGATTCCTTCCCTGATACCTCTGATACTCCTGTCTTGCCCCGCAGAACCTCTAGAGTCAATGCTGGAAAACCTCCAGCTAAGTTTGGTAATTGGGATACTGATATTGCGAATTATATTTCATATGCATCCATTCCACCTGCATATAAGTCATTCATTGCATCGTTGCATTCAGTGCCTGTACCTAACAACTGGCAGGTAGCTAAGCAAGATCCTAGGTGGTTGAATGCCATGCACGAGGAACTCCAGGCCTTGAAGAAGAATGACACATGGGAGTTGGTACCTTTGCCAGCTGGGAAGCGTGCTGTTGGATGTAAGTGGGTGTATACGGTTAAGCAAACTCCAGAGGGCAAGATCGACAGATACAAGGCCAGATTGGTTGCTAAAGGCTACAGCCAAACATACGGCATTGACTATGACGAGACATTTGCTCCAGTAGCAAAGATGAGTACTGTTAGAGTGTTGGTGTCATGTGCTGCCAACTTTAATTGGCCACTACATCAGCTAGATGTCAAGAATGCCTTTTTGCATGGAGATCTTCAAGAGGAGGTATATATGGAGATTCCACCAGGCTTCACTACTTCTCAAGTAGCTGGGAAGGTGTGCAAGTTGAAGAAGTCTTTGTATGGGTTAAAACAGTCTCCGAGGGCATGGTTTGATAGATTCAGGTTGGCAGTTTGTGGTATGGGGTACAAGCAGTGCAATGGTGATCATACTGTGTTTTACAGGCACTCCAAAACTCGTATCACTATCCTGGCGGTCTATGTTGATGATATTGTAATCACTGGAGATGACGCTGAGGAAATCCTACTGTTGAAGAAGAAATTGGGAGAGGAATTTGAAGTTAAAGATCTGGGGCAGTTGAAGTACTTTCTCGGAATTAAAATTGCAAGGTCGCGAAAGGGTATAGTGCTTTCTCAGCGGAAGTATGCTCTGGATCTTCTCTCAGAGACAGGGATGTTGGGGTGTAGAGTTGCATCTACTCCTATTGAGCAGAATCATAAGATGAGTGCCGAGGGTGGGGACCCTGTGAGTAAAGAGCAATATCAAAGATTGGTTGGACGACTTATATATCTATGCCATACGAGACCTGATATTACTCATGCAGTGAGTGTGGTGAGTAGATATATGCATGATCCCAGAGAGCAGCATATGGAGGCAGTTCGCAGAATTCTTAGATATATTAAAGGAAGCCCAGGAAAGGGGTTATGGTTCAGGAGTTTTGGACATCTGAGAATTGAAGGCTATTGTGATGCTGATTGGGCGGGTTGTATGGATGATCGTAGGTCCACTACAGGCTATTGTGTATTTGTTGGAGGCAATCTCGTATCTTGGCGTAGCAAGAAGCAAGATGTGGTGGCTAGGTCTACAGCTGAGGCAGAGTACAGAGCTATGGCAGTTGGTCTGTGCGAGTTGATGTGGGTCAAAAACGTATTATTTGAGCTGCGCTTGTTTAGAAGAGACTCCTTACAACTTTGGTGTGATAACAAATCGGCAATTAATATTGCAAATAATCCAGTTCAGCATGATCGCACCAAACATGTGGAGATCGATCGGTTCTTTATCAAGGAGCAACTGAATAGAGGAGTTCTGGCTTTGAGCTATGTGAAATCAGAAGAGCAGTTAGCTGATTGTTTAACAAAAGGATTAGGTTCTAGAGAGTATGATATCTTTTGTAACAAGATGGGGATGATTGATATCTATCGCCCATCTTGAGGGGGAGTGTTGAGTTATTTAGATAGTAATTAGTTAATATTGTAAGGACCTATCTGTAAGAGTGCACTTCTATAAAAGGGGTACCTCTCTATGAGATTGGGTAACCCTAATTTCACCCAAAAAACCACATGAATCAAGGTTATTTACAAAACAAAGTCATGCCTTCGAGTTGTAAAAATATGATAAAGAATATAATGCGCCATCTAATTTATACTATATTAAAGAAAAGCTCCTTTTTTGGTCATTGTGAGTCATGTTTTTAGAATTCTTAAAATGACATTACATTTGAACAAAAGTTTGATTGTAAATGCCCTCATGCTTAAAGAATCAACAAAAGTTTGATTGGACTTAACAAAATCAAGGATAATGTAATCATACTTGGAAAAAATCATAGAAATATCCTTTAACTTGGAAAATCTAAAAAAATCAAGGAAAAATGCTCAAAATTATATCTTATCTGTTTTTTTGACAATTTGATTAAAATACTACCCTCACGTTTTGTATCATGCACGTATGGCGAGCACCAAAGCTAGTTATCTAATTAGATCAACTTATGTAAATTTGTAATCATAAAAAATAAGGGTGCTAGCAGATTTCACTGAACAAATAATGCTTGGGTTATTTAGATATTAG